TGGACTCAGCTGGAGCATCGTACATAATATCTATTGCAAATCGTGTACTAAACATTCAGTTTTTAAAGTATTATGTGCAAACACATTCGTTTATCTGTTGCCTTGAATCCTGCAATTCTTCACATGATAAACACAGACCTTATGGTTTCCATCAAGACAAATAAAAAAAAACTTTCAAAGACATTTTAGTGGATATTTGTTTCTAAATGGTGAAAAATGAGTTACCTGTAACAATTCAATGGACATTTAAATGGATTTTTTCAAAGATAATTTATATTCTTCATACATAATTCATGTTAAATTTGATTTTTAAAAATAATTAATGGTTAGCAGATAACTGACTTAATTCTTAACACTCTGGGAGGTTCTTTTATTAGGCCCTTAATGGTAAGACTATAGCTTTTATCTGCGTCTGTCTGTATGTATGTTTGTCTGTCTGTCAGTCTGGCCCACTTGGTTTTACACACTTTTTTCTAAACGCTTGTTGATTTTGAGGGCTGGTTTTTCTTAAAGGAGTGTATATCTTGGTGAGTTACAAATCAAATTTTATGGAACGCCGTAACTGCCTTATGTGGAGAACTTTCATTATATGATGGTATTTTGTCATTATATGATGGTATTTTGTCATTATATGATGGTATTTTATCATTATATGATGGTACTTTGTCATTATATGATGGTATTTTGTCATTATATGATGGTATTTAATCATTATATGATGGTATTTTGTCATTATATGATGGTATTTTATCATTATATGATGGTATTTTGTCATTATATGATGGTATTTTTTTCATTATATGATGGTATTTTATCATTATACGATGGTATTTTATCATTATATGATGGTATTTTGTCATTATATGATGGTATTTTATCATTATATGATGGTATTTTATCATTATATGATGGTATTTTGTCATTATATGATGGTATTTTGTCATTATATGATGGTATTTTATCATTATATGATGGTACTTTGTCATTATATGATGGTATTTTGTCATTATATGATGGTATTTAATCATTATATGATGGTATTTTGTCATTATATGATGGTATTTTATCATTATATGATGGTATTTTGTCATTGTATGATGGTATTTTGTCATTATATGATGGTATTTTATCATTATACGATGGTATTTTATCATTATATGATGGTATTTTGTCATTATATATGGTATTTTGTCATTATATGATGGTATTTTATCATTATATGATGGTATTTTGTCATTATATGATGGTATTTTGTCATTATATGATGGTATTTTATCATTATATGATGGTACTTTGTCATTATATGATGGTATTTTATCATTATATGATGGTATTTTGTCATTATACTACTTTTCATTATACTACTTTTCTTTATACTACTTTTCATTATACTACTTTTCTTTGTACTACTTTTCATTATACTACTTTTCATTATACTACTTTTCATTATATGCTACTACTTTTTCGTCATTATTTGAAGTCTCGATCATCCAGACGCTTGTTTCTATAACACATTCGCTGTTCCTAGACTGGCAGTACGAAATCGAGGATCAGACAGGCAAGCCAGTCTAAGTATCGTAACAGTATTTCACTTGGATTCACATCATATCAAGGCTGACGTAAAATAATTCCGGAATCTTCCCTTCCGATTCGGACATTTTGATACGAGACTGGAGCTGAATTTTTATATGAGATGAAAAACAACATGTATACTTCCTGTAATGACAAGATTTATTAAGATTTAGTGCGTGCTGGTGTTTCTATATACTGTCAAGAGTGGGGAGTGATTAGGCCCTGGACTAGTTTTTCAAACACCTGCTCAACTTCAACTGAAACAAACTTGCGTGCCTTGCTGCATGGATGGCTATGTATTTTTTGGTACTAAAATCTTTACAAGTATTAGCTTTCCTAAAAAGCTTGTCTGACGTGGTTTGCTTAAATTCAAAAAACGGAAGAAATAATATGTTACAAAATTTCTTTCGTTCGAAAATATATCTTCAAGAGACATATTGTATACAATAATGAACAAAGAGAATTGAAATTAAGCTTCTGGCTCCAGGATCATGATAATCTAAGACTTGCAAGTCAAATTTTTAATCGACGATAAAATATTTATTAATTATATAATATCTTCATTTGCATATAAAAATATTTTAATTCTATAGTTTACGGTTTGACTTGACAACATTATATTATAAAATAAAGATTTTGATCGACTTACAGAGGCGTAGACCAAACTTAAAAGTGGGGGCGTGCTCATTTTCAGAAATTATTTGATAAGCAAAAAAAAAAAAGAAAGGGAAATGTCCATATCCAAACAAACGTGAAAGTCCTATTTGGTGGTGGTGGGTTTTTGGGGGGGGGGGGGGAAAATCTTGTCAATTTAATTACTACATTATATTACGTTACTATAAACAACTTTAACTTCAAGAGAAATGCTTAATTTGTTGTTGAAAAGGTAAAATACATTTGTTATGAAATGAGGTTTAATTTTATTTCAACATAGCAAACTGTGATTTTGTTCTACATAAAATATTTATTAATTATGATATAATATTTTCATTGGCATATAAAAACATCTCTGTGAAACAATATTAAAGATATTTTAATTCTGGTCTGCTTAACTTTACAACATTTTATTATAAAATAAAGATTTTGATCGACTTAAGCTTAAGATGTTTCAAAATCCCGGGGCCCGCATTTTTCATGTAATGTTTTATATGTTAAATGACCTAACTGATTTTTTTGTTTCGGTCGAAGTCGAGCAGGTGTTTTAAAAATCTAGACTTAAGTCTAGGGCCTAATCACTCCCCACTCTTGACAGTATATAAAAAAAAAACCAACACGCACTAAATCTTAATAAATCTGGTCAATACAGGAAGTGTACATGTTGTTTTTCATCTCATAAAAAAAATTCAGCTCCAGTCTCGTATCAAAATCATTTCGAGATTATTTTACGTCAGCCATGATTTGACATGAACCCAAGTGAAATACTGTTACGATACCTAGACTGGCTTGCCTGTCTGATCCTCGATTTCGTACTGCCAGTCTAGGAACAGCGAATTTGTGTTATAGAAACAAGCGTCTGGATGATCAAGATTTCAAATAATGACGAAAAAGTAGTAGCATATAATGAAAAGTAGTATAATGAAAAGTAGTATAATGAAAAGTAGTATAATGAAAAGTAGTATAAAGAAAAGTAGTATAATGAAAAGTAGTATAATAAAAAGTAGTATAAAGAAAAGTAGTATAATGAAATGTAGTATAATGACAAAATACCATCATATAATGATAAAATACCATCATATAATGACAAAATACCATCATATAATGACAAAATACCATCATATAATGACAAAATACCATCATATAATGATAAAATACCATCATATAATGATAAAATACCATCATATAATGACAAAATACCATCATATAATGATAAAATACCATCATATAATGATAAAATACCATCATATAATGACAAAATACCATCATATAATGATAAAATACCATCATATAATGACAAAATACCATCATAAAATGACAAAATACCATCATATACAGTCAATTCTCGAATTATCGCCATTCGATTCATCGCCATTTTCGCAATACCGCCATGATTTCCCAAGAACGTTTTTCCTGCTATATAAAATTCTCTTTATAACGCCAAATTCGCATACCGCCATCCGCCACCCTGTTTTCAAAACAAACGTCCATTTTTAAGTGTCAATTATCTCGATATACCGCCACAGGTGCATGTGGTCAGTGAAGCGTGGCTAATTGGTTGACGCTATCCCTGTTGTTAAGCATGCAAAGCCAGACAAGGTACAAGCAATTAAATAATTAAATAAGAATTAAATAAACAAAAAATAAATTTTAACATGAACTGTGATATAAAAAAATGCGTTCTATTAAATAAAAATCATTTAGTCACGGCTTTGCCTTGAAAGCTGGACGTCGTTGTTAAAGCACATCGATATCGAAATTATTTTAATGATCTCTGCTTTAAACAATACAAAATTTGCTTAAAAACTAATTATACAGTATAAATTCTGGACGTTTCATTAACAATGATGCCATTAACAATGAATTTATTTGAATAATTCATTTTAAGTACTATCGGCAATATCTTACGAGATCGATCAAGCATGTGTTTTTTTCAATATCAGACTGCAGATGTACATGCATACTTATATACATTATGTACTTGTCTTTAATTCATAACTGCACATTTTGTTTTAGCTAAAATGTACACAAAAAATTACTTGAAATATTCTCAAATTTAGGAGTATGTTTAATTTTATATACATGTACATGTAATAATACGAATAGAAACGCAAATGGTATTGTTAAGAGCGGTAACTCCACTTCTTGTTTCCTAAATGATGGGAAATTCAATTCATCGCCAAATTCGTTAAACCGCCATAATTTCTGAATTACAAAAGGTGGCGGTTTATCGAGAATTGACTGTAATGACAAAGTACCATCATATAATGAAAGTTCTCCACATAAGGCAGTTACGGCGTTTCATAAATTTGCATTTCATTCCACTTCAATGATTTTTGACGGAATTACAAGTTTTGCATTTTTCACAATTTTTCCCCCTAAAAGCTTGCAGATGATGAACTGATTTTTTTTTTTGGGGGGGGGGGGGGTATGTGGCTTTACCTTGATATAGTTTGCATGACGGAATAAACGCATTTTTAATTTTTAATTGGAACCAGATCATACTTGCCAGTAGGAGACAAGAATTGCTAATGCAATAGTCTCTCTTCTCTTAAATATATAGGGTAACACATACGTAAATATACAAATAAACAATCGTACATATTCATATTCAGAAATATTCCTTACTGATATGAATGGTCAGAAACTCACATATTTCAAGACATATATCAATAAAAATGTTACATGTAAGATGACTAATTTCTTCTTTCTAGAAAACCGTGTTCAAGCCAGTAATGATTGAGTACCAGTTTAATCATTTTTCATTATTTCAGGTTGCTGTGGACAGTGCTGATGTTGTTTTGTATTACGTTGATGTCGTATCAGATTATAGACAGAATCATGTACCTACACAGCAATCCCGTCAACGTTAACGTCAAAATCAACTACAACCAATCACTGACCTTCCCCGCCGTTACTATCTGTAACCAAAACGCATTCAAGTAAAGACTATTTCATTTATTTTGTTTCTTTGTTTTATTATTGTTCGTTTGTAATTGTAAACTATCTTGGTAAATTGTGAATTTGATCCTTTGTGTAAATTTATTGAAAATTTGATAGTTTTGACAGCTAATTCACATGTTATTTAAATGTTCAAAATGTAATATAAAATTTGTTTATGATTATACTTTAGCCATAAATGATTATATTTCATTGTGCTTACTAATGCTTTTTATAGAGCTACAACTGCCGCCGAGAGGAATTGGTATCGTCTTATAGAGACTATGTACAATGGAAGCTCGAAATCTTTCTCACAGAGGGACCTAGACAGGTTCCACGCCTCCACTCTGACATTCAACCAACTCTTCCAGCAGGCCTCTCACAGAAAAGAAGACATGATTGTAAGGTAATGTGAGTAACCTTTACCTGTATGTGGTGTTTACATATCCCAACGTATTAGAAACTCAATAGCATGCTCTGAATAAGATTAAATTTCTCAAAAGTACAGGCTCTTGAGACATAAGTTGATGTTATACCGAGGTTTCAACAATAGGGCTGGGACGATACAACTTTTTCTATATCGATACGTATCACGATATTTGAGCCACGATACGATATGTATCACGATATGTTTAATTGCTTATAAAGTCTTTCAAACAAATTATTTCTTTGCAAATAAGAATAACTTACTCAAGTTGTTTATATGTTGTAAAACAAAAATATTTTACTTAAATGGTATTAATCATTATTTATTTCATATCTGTATTTATATTTAACTTATTTATTTTATATATTAAACCCCAAATGTTAAATAAACAAAGAAAAATAGAAATCAGATTTTTTGAGCGATATTTCGATATTTCTTCATATGTATCGATATGCGTATCGCCCTCACATATATCACGATATATCGATATCTCGATATATCGTCCCATCCCTATTCAACAACCTCCTTTAAAATCGGCATTTGGTATAATTATTCTATGGTCGTTATAATAACCTTGTCGGCAAATATATAAACCTATCATTTGGTCATAATTAGGCTGACTTGTTTCATACCAAATGCTAAGCCTTGGTTGTTTCATACTGAATTTGAGTACGAAATGTTCCGTCGACCTAATCAATCCATAAGGCTCACGGCGGGTGTGAGCTTACTCCTTCCAGTCACCTTGTCCCAGGATCATGAAACAGACTTACCCCAGGTAGACTTAAGTCCAATTTTTTATAGCCTGTAAAATGTTTATTCATTATTGAACGAATCTCTAATTTTGCAGATAACAACCCTTTTGTAAAGCAATATTAAAAAATATTTAAGTTTTTGTCTACTTTACTTAATCAAAATTCTAGTTCAACATGAATAATTTGACTTAAACTTAAGATGTTTCATGATCCTGGGACCTGAACCATCTCCTGAATTTCCAGGGTTCTGTGTTTTATGCCCTTTTCACAGATTTGTATTGGTTATAGATTTTTTTTAAGATTGATCATTGTTCATTATCATTTTTCATCGTTATTAAATGCCGTAAAAGACCTCAGAGAAAATTGGTTTCTGGTTATGAGTCATTTTGTAAATGGATAAAGGTAAATGCAACATTTTCATTGAAAATTTTGAACTTCTCCCCACCTAGTTACTTTAATTAAAAATCGTTCGTTTATTAATTTCTTTTGTATTGAAAACTTATTTAATTAACTTTTTTGCTGTTTATAAATCTTTTATTTTTTTAAGTTGCCGATGGGCGGATTTACCTTGTGGACCCAAAAACTTTTCAGAACAATTGACGGACTATGGCAACTGTTACAGATTCGTGGCTCCAGAGAATTCCAGATCTACAGGTATGCATTGAAGATACATGGAATATTTACCGAAGAAGAGAAATACAAATACTCTGAAGATGAAATTAAAAAGATGATTGTTTCTGGTTGACAATATATTTGGAGACAACGTCATAATTGCACCCCATTATAAGCAAAAAGCAGATCTATTTTTGTACATACATGAATTCGAATTTATTTAAGATACGTTTTATCAATTAACAATAGTTAATTCCATTCATCAACTCGGTATTTCTGTGAGCTTGAAATGAAAGATATCACAAAGTTTGACACATCTGTTTTTATATCCGTATATTTTTACTGAAAAATTACATTATTGGTAACTTCACAACAAAGCTTAATGATAAATATGGCACGCCAAATTCACAAAAATGAGTTAATCATAGTTTCAAAATCGATAAACTAGGTTTATCGGTTGTAAACTATAGTTTACGGACTCTAAACTATAGTTAACAACGTTAATCTATATTTTACATCTGTAAACCATACATGTAGTTAACGCGATAATCTATGTTTCACAAGCGTAAACCATACTTAACACAGAAAACAATCATTTGCGATTGCAAAACATATATAATCTGATAAATACAGTTTCACAATTTGTAAACTATAGTTTACAAACCGTTAACTATAGCTAACGATCTCATAAATATAGTTTCACGATTTGTGAAACTATGATTAACAACTCTTAACTATAGTTTACGATTGTAAACTATAGTTTACAAACGTGAATCTATTTGTTAACGCTTATTTCAAACAGATAAACTTAGATTAGCATTCGTAAACTATAGTTAACAACCGTTAAATATAGTTTTACAGATGAAAACTAAACTTAACGAATCATTAACTATAGTTTACGGTTTGTAAACTATAGTTTACAGTCGATAAAGCTAGTTTATCAATTGTGAAACTAGGTTTAGCTCATTTTTGTGAATTTGGCGTGCCATAGATAAATGTCGTAACTTCAACTTTTCAATGAAAAAATTTCCTTTACTTATGTAACAGTATACTCTTACCTCCTGCATATAAAGTTTATGTCTCTCAATGCAGTCGATACATACGAACAATTTCTATAACGAGGCAAGCTATTGACAAAAACGTCGATGAAACTAGAATACAGCATAGTATAAAGTCATCATTTTGCAAGTTCTATGGTTGATACAATAACCGTGTAAGTGAAAACAATCTATCATTGAGTCGAATGCTAACTTGTGTTTATACTAATTAAAAGTCCATTAATTGCACATTGAATTCTTTACGATTTTTTTCTCGGTGGTTATGGCTAGTTGGTAGGATATGTTCACAAATAGCAACTGATCCCATCATGTTTGCTCTGCTCCTGCTTTGAATATTTTGAATAGATTTTGAGCAACAGCTGAATAAGCCCCTATCT